AAACGTTTTCGCACATTTTGTGCATCGTCAGGATATAAAATTTTTTATTTACAATAAAATGATCAAAGATCATGTATGAAATTCAAAAAGAACATGTTAGAAATTTTTAACCGATCACATTCTTACATCTGTTATTACGTAATCATTATTTCATCGATTATGACAATTTCCATACTTTTTTCTTACTTGAGTCATAATTTTTCGGTTTGATGTTTTATCCAAACTGACATGTCAGTTTATTTTTTTCAAAAATTGCAATTTTTAGTCATGTTTAAACATGTACTATAATTTTAATGTCAGCTCCCTGCTCCTGAACTCCTCGCGCGTGTTAATTCTGGGGCGTTCTTTCCAAATATGTAAGGCCTCCAGAGTGAGGAGTTTCTGTATGTTACTTGATTGATCTATAATCTCAGACTTAAGCTCAGCGCTCTTACCATCCCTGTCACATTCTCTCAAATGTTGCCCTACTGGCGAATCTTCCTTGTGATGCTCTTCAATCCGCGTGGTCAAATGCCGGACCGTTTGTCCAACATAGGTGGAATTACATCCACTACATGTGAGCTTGTAGACCAATCTGGATTTCAAATCTTTCGCAAAGAGAGATTTAAGGGACGGTAGGCAAGTCTTGAGCTTTCTCGTAGTAAATATCACTTGGGCTCCAGCGTTTTGACGCAGTTTGGCAGCAAACCACTCCGATGCATTACCCTGGTATTGTAATGTTATAATGGGTGCACTGACCTTTAAAGGATCTTCCTTGACTGATGTTACCGTTGTTCGTGTGTCAGTTTTTCGGTCGATGATCTTATTCAACGTTCTTAATACGACACCATCTGACCATTTTTGAGGGTATTGATTATCCACCCATTGTTCTTTATTAATCTTCATTGCCTTGTCAAAATTTTCCCATGTTGATGTACTTCTAAAAATCCGATGAACAGTACCCTCAACTACATTGCGTTTATATTGCAATGGAGCGCAGCTTCTGAAGTTAAGGATAGTCCCAGTATCCGTTGGTTTTTGATACCACCCACATGTTACCTTTTTTTGGTGAGTCCACATTAATGTTCAAATCTAGAAAGGCTAAGTCTCCGTTCGAATCCGGATTTTCGATAGTGAATTGTAAGTTGGGGTGGAGCTCATTAGCTGCTTTTAACACTATATCTGGATCCCCCTTTACCGTCCTCACTATATCATCTACATATCTTAGGAACGCTTTGACATTTTCTGTTGGTTTTTCTGGATCTCGCTGCTCTTTACATCTCTTACAATACCAAACCATTTCTGAGATATGCTCATATTCTTTGTCTGATACATTACTACACTTTAAATGGTACCAATTTAAACAAGCTTCGCATTCGATCCCCTTACTTCTGTATGTTACCCTCCGCTCGCAATCAGGGCATAGGCCATTCCGGTTTTCATTTAGCTGTGTCAACGCAGGTACTTCCTTCATTAATGCATATTCGTACTCCTTTAGCCATAAATTGGCAAGAATGACAGCAAGGGATGCACCCATTGCCAACCCATCCTTTTGTACGTACCATAAACCATTGCATTTGAAGTGCACCTTACTTAGCGCCATGTTCAACAATTTCTTCATAGTTCCGCGTGCCAGTTTAGGAGGACTAGTTTGTTCGTACAGTTTCCTCAAGGCTATATCTATTGCCTCCTTTAGTGGGACATTAGTGTACAAACTTTTGACATCCAGGGAGATAATACTCTCATTATAGTCTAGATCTATGTTCTCTATGATCTCCCGAGCCATTTGTGTGTTTGTCTCAATATTTGCCCCCTCAATGTTGACAAAAAATTTGGCCAAAGTTTTATTTAGATGTTCATATGAGCTCCCTGGCAGTGACAGTACGGGACGTAGAGGGGTTCCTTTCTTATGTACTTTAGCCAATCCATTTAATCGAGCTGGCTGCCCTCCCGTGGACCTAGGCCTACTATACAGTGCCTCATCGATCTCATCTTTCTTTTTCATGGCCAACAGTTCTTTGTTGATGTCTTTCTCAATTTTCATACCAACACTATCAGTTAAACCTGGTTTTTTCGCTAAATTGTTCCGATTGCAGCAGCTCAGTTAGTTTAGCCTCATATGTCGTTTTCTTCATTACACAGAAGCCAACACCTTTATCGAATGGGACTGCCAAGAGACCATTGTCCTTCAAATACTTCCTGGCTTTCTCAATCCCTCTATCCGACGGTGTTTGCCGCACACGTTTAGCGTATGATTTTGCAGCAGCTTCAATTTCACATAATTTTTCACCTGGTACCTTTTGCGATTTAAGCTCAGATAAAAAATTATCAATGTCCGCAAGAAAGTGAAGTTCTTTGAAACGATCCCTCACCGGGTGCTTTGGGCCAAAACCTAACACTTCATGAACCCACTTGGGTAGCTCAATGCCATCTAGTGCTCTGACCGATTTGTCATTCACTTTCATTAACGGTCTGTCCTGCCGCTCTGCTAGCTTTTTTAACTTCTTTTCATGTCTATCCTTGATGTCATGGATAGCAATTCTAGCCTGGAGCTTTAGATAAAATGCTATTGAGGGCCACCATTGTTCATCTATCCCTCTCCGCACTACCTCTCTTGCCTTAGCTAGATCATCGTCTATCTTCTTCTCTTCTGACCTTGCCTGATTTATCTCTGTTCTTAGGAGTTTTAATTGAAAGCTATGCACCGCTTGGTTCGAAAAAACCCCATTTTCTGGCACCCGAAATCTCAAAAAATCTGTTATTATGTCATTGCTTTGACATTTCCGTAAAAACTTCAATCGATGGAAATTGTTGTTTAATTTATTTGAATACTTCAGGTAATTCAAAACTAATTTCCAAGTTTGTTTTTTCATGAGTATCCATCTCAGCATCGGGGGGGGGGGGGGCAAAACTACGGCGGTCATTATCCTGCAGGCCACGAGCACTTAAACTCATGCGGCTCTCAGCAGGATAATTCTCACAGCAGATTCACTTACCCAATCCGCGCCGTTTCAGCCGATGGTAGAGAGACGTCAGTCGTTGTTTCCTCTCTGCGTGCCTTCGCCTTGCGTCGTCCTTGTGATGGTTTCTGAGTCCGCGCTCTTATCTTTGAGAATATCCCGGGCAAGTTCTCTCTATGTGTCAGCACAACTCGCAATGACTTCAACTCAAGTTCGCTCGATTGATGAACTTCCAGGTATTGTCTCACCAAAGCGGGATCCTGCCTCTTGCCTCTCGAGATCAATTTCGTTGTTGGGACTATCAAGATCCCTGTACGCATCAGAGAATCAAAGATATCTGTCGTTCTGGTTCTTCTGCAATATATAATCGCCTTAAACCGATGTCGCTTTGATTGCAAATACGAAATTAAATCGTCCAGAGGATAAAGCGTGTTGGCATTGGTTCGGTGTTTCGACAAACTGTTATTCAATACGTCGTGCCAAAGAATTATCTCCTCGTCCACCAGAGGATGCTCTTCCAGAAGAGTCTGTAAAATTTGTCTCTTCCTCACGGTATGAGGATTCAGCGATAATCCCGATTCAGCGTATACCAGTTTGTCCAGTTCCCCTTTCTCTGCTGGTCGTAAGGTATTCCAGCTATGAAATAGAGAGCTTGCAGCTACAACCCATGCCATTTTAACTCAAATGTAAGAAAACTCATTGTTGAGATGAGAAAAGAAAAAAGAAAAATTAAGACTATTCTGAGAAAAATAAAAATGATCTAAAAATTTTTTGTTTGTATTTTTACAACAAACTTTTTAATCTATCATTCACTCTTCGCCGAGGTTATTTTTTTTCCAAAATTTAACAAAAAGAAGAATAAGAATTTTTTAAAATTGTTAATTCAAACGTTTTCGCTTATTTTGTGCATCGTCAGGATATAAAATTTTTTATTTACAATAAAATGATCAAAGATCATGTATGAAATTCAAAAAGAACATGTTAGAAATTTTTAACCAATCACATTCTTACATCTGTTATTACGTAATCATTATTTCATCGATTATGACAATTTCCATACTTTTTTGTTACTTGAGTCATAATTTTTCGGTTTGATGTTTTATCCAAACTGACATGTCAGTTTATTTTTTCAAAAATTGCAATTTTTAGTCATGTTTAAACATGTACTATAATTTTAATGTCAGCTCCCTATCGTTGCTGACATTTTCGTTGATGGTGGTTCGTCTGAGACCCGGAAAAAAGTCGTTTTTGTGTAGACGCTGATTGTTTTTCTAAGCAAAGAACGCATCTGAGCTGGAACCGAGTCCAAGGTTCAATTCAGAATTTGGTTCCACTTAACTACTAAAAAGACGCTTAAGAGCGGTCAACCTAAGGTTGACGCTTAAGAGCGGTCAACCTAGTAGTCAACCTGCACAACGCCAGTCCATAAAGTTGTGCAGGTTGACTACCAGTTGACCTCAAACTCGTATATGAGCCATCTGTAATATCATCCCATTTGTTCATGGTCAGTAGTTCTTTGTTCAATTTTTTTCAATTTTTTGAACAACTGAGTTGTTTTTGAGAGGAAGATATGAGCGAGATAAAGTCCGCTCTTAAGCGTCTTTTTAGTAGTTAAGTGGAACCAAATTCTGAATTGAACCTTGGACTCGGTTCCAGCTCAGATGCGTTCTTTGCTTAGAAAAACAATCAGCGTGTACACAAAAACGACTTTTTTCCGGGTCTCAGACGAACCACCATCAACGAAAACGTGTTAATCCGAAAGGCCGTGATGGAAATGTCACTAAGTGCAAAATTTGGGAATACATTTATCACTGGGTCGTGACTGTCCAGACGCGGACAAGACAGTTACTCATCAAAAGGTTCGGAAACGCCAGGAAAATGCGTTCAATTTAGAATTCGAAGCTTGAGAAAATAGTTTTAGTGGAAAAATCGGTTCGCCCTTGCCTTAAACATTAATTTACTTGACCAGATTAGAGTATCAGGCAAAATCGACCCGGAATGTACAGCAAGTGTGTGTGTGGACACCTTTGGGTAGACAGATATACGCGCAATGGGGATTAGCCTAATTGTTGTGATAAACTTATTAAATAGATTTGTTATGTTTGATGTTTGTGCCTGTATGTGGAGCGCCCTCTGAGGGATTTTAGAGACAGGTCTGTCAAGTGGCTTTCTGTGGGGAGGTGGGGAACTGGAACTGGCTTGAGAAGTCTGGTGGTGCGCCGCTGAACCTACTGAGCTCGGGTGAGATTGTTCCTTGTTTTTGATTTTTAACCTTTATGCTGCCTTTTAACCTTTTAAATTAATTTAGTTGTCTTTTTTTTTTTTATTTGCTGATTTGTAAAATTCCCACTAACCGCTTATCATGGGTTAGTTCAGTCCCCTAAAGTCCAGTCAAAATCCTTTTTTTTTACCTTTATGCTGCGTCAAGATGAGGAAAAACAACAAAGAGTGTACAAGCAAAGATTGCTTAAAACCTTCAGGACTGATAAATTGGATTAAATGTGATTGTTGTTCTAGTTGGTATCATATCAGTTGTGTAAATATTTCTCTTAGCGACTCTAAGAAAACCCAATGGTTTCAGTGTCCTTTATGCGTTGATGTAAAATCTGTTAATAAAGCAACAATAGGTAATGATTTAGTGCTAGACAATTATGTTAATACAGCCATCTCAAATGTCCGAGTACTCAAGAGAGTACCAAAAGACTCGCGTGTTCCCTTGGCGGAAAATCTGTCGGACAAAATAAATGACATCGTCTACAATGTAGAAGATGTTACAAAATGGCTAATTTTTTTAACGTCGTTCTTGTTTTTTTTGGAGCAACCGAAAAGAAGTGGACGCAAACAGACCACAAGCATGAGCTCTTTGATAAATAAAAAAATTCGAGCAAATGACGTGTCACTTCCAAAACCCCATCCCCAAGTTTCAATCCCGCCTCTGAGTGACCTCGAGCAGAGAATAAAGTTAATAAGTAGTAAGCTCGATGAAGGAAATGTAAAGGGAGGAATAAGGCTTGCTGCTTCGGATGACAAAATAGCTCCTTTTTCAACTGATAACTATCAAAAATTGTTATCTAAGCACCCGCAGCGAGCCAAATTTGCAGCTCCAAATCCAGAAAAGTTGGATAGTTTTTTCTTAACCGATTTCGACCTATACAAAGCGATAATGTCCTTTCCAAACGGATCAGCAGCAGGTCCTGATAAAATATTTCCTCAAATTTTTAAAGATCTTGTTAGTAAGTCGAATGGCAGTGCAGGACTTAATTTACTGAAATCGCTTACTAAGCTGATATACCTCATTGGAGATGGCAAAATACCGGAAGCACTAAGACCTTTCTTTTTTGGCGCAAAGCTTATCGCCCTCATAAAAATAGACGGAGGGTTGAGACCGATTGCCATAGGCAACACGCTGAGACGTATCGCGTCTAAATGCGCTGGAAGCAAGGCCCTCTCCGAGCGACAAAATTTTTTCGGAAACGTACAGGTAGGATGCGGTACCAAACGAGGAGCAGAAATAGCTGCGCACTCGTTTCGAAACCTAATTGAACGCGACGACAATCCAAAATGTACTGTTCTTTTAAAACTAGATTTTAAGAATGCCTTTAACTCTTTAAACAGAGAAACAATGCTGAATCATGTTTTTTCAAATCGCCCCGAATTATATAATTACACCCATTGCGCGTATGCTAAACCTAGTTACCTTTTTTACGGAAGCTCTGTCATAATGTCAGAAGACGGAACTCAGCAAGGTGATCCTGAAGCCCCACCCCTTTTTGCGGAAACAATTCATACACTAGTCAAACAGTTGGAGTCGAAAATTAACATCTGGTATTTAGATGATGGGAATTTAGCCAACGACTATAAGGTAGTACTCCGGGACCTTAAAAACATTCTGAAATCGGAACAAATTTACGGCCTGAGCTTAAACACTGAGAAGTGTGAACTTTGTTTTTTGGGACCGACTACTAGTACACAGTATAATTCAATTTTAACACAATTTCGAAAAATATGCCCCAAAATAAAAATAAAAACAAAAGAAGAACTCCTCATTTTAGGATCTCCAATCGGCGAACTTTGCCGAAAAGAATTACTCGACGAAAAAATTAGGGAGCTTGAAAAAATCTCGGATGTCATTGACAAACTAGACGCCCATTATGGTTTTTACCTCCTGAAAAATTGCTTTAGCATGCCAAAACTCCTATATTTTTTGCGTACGAGCCCTTGTTTTTTGCAAAATGATTTTTTGGAACGCTACGATAAATTACTAAGAAATTCGTTATGCAAGGTCACCAACGTGAAAATGGATGATAACCAGTTTTTACAAGCAGTTCTCCCGGCAGCCAAAGGTGGCTTGGGCGTTTCTTCCGCTCGTCTACTCGCTTTACCCGCTTTCTTAGCCTCAGCAGTAGGAGCGAAAGATGCCTTGAGCGAAATCTTTGGTTTGGAGCATGTGGATGGAACCTATGATGATGCGCTTAAACGGTGGTTTGACCTTGGAAAAATTGAAATGGCTCCGGAAAATGAAATCCAAAAAAATTGGACGGAGCCAATTTTTGACAGCGAAATTGCAGACTTGATTTTACGACTCGAACCAACGGACGTGAAAAGGTTCAACGCGTTCCAAGATAGATTTGGATCCCAATGGTTGAACGTCATCCCCTGCAAAAATTTAAGGTTAAAACTGTCGAACCAACAACTCAGAATTGCGATAGGACTTCGATTAGGATCAAAAATATGCGAACGGCATAAATGCGTGTGCGGAAAAGACGTTACCGAGGATGGTTGGCATGGTCTTTCTTGCCTCAAAAGTGCAGGGAGATTCTCTAGGCATTCAAACCTGAATGCCCTTATAAAGCAGAGTCTATCATCTACTCACATTCCGTCTGTTTTAGAACCACGACACCTCTACAGGACCGATCAGAAGCGACCAGACGGTTTGACGCTCGTTCCATGGGCTGATGGTAAGCAGCTCTTGTGGGATGTAACGGTAGTAGACTCCTTAGCTCCTTGTAGGATTAATGCCGGGTCTGTTTGTAACCCTGGTACGGCTGCCGCTGAAGCGGAAGAGCGAAAAATTGACAAATATAAAGATCTTGTAAATGATGGATATCTTTTTCAACCGCTAGCTTTTGAAATTCAGGGCGCGGCCGGCCCCAGCACAGAAGTTTTTTTGAGCAAGCTTTGTAAGAACCTAAGCATATGCACTGAGGAACCCAGAGCAGGCAGCTTTTTAAAACAGAGAATCTCCCTGGCAATACAGATTGCGAACGCCGCTTGCGTACTCGGAACAATAAATGACAAAATAACTTTCGACGAAATTTTTTACTTGTAACACTTATTATATTATCTCGTGTCGAGTTGCGTGTTCTTATTGAAGAAGCGTAACCCGTATCGATTTTAAATGAAAAGGACTTAAACACTTGACATCTTCTTTTATCATTATCACTTCCATATCTAGAAAATTCCAAGGATTTTGACTGGAATACATGATGAAGGGACTCATGACTGTAACCTCGGTTACTATGATACTTTTGACCTTCTGATTACCCCAAGAAAAGAAAAAAAAAGTCTGAAAAAGACCTGAAATCCGTGAAGTTGTCAACAAGTGATACAACCGTGATGTTTGGAGATATGCGTACATAAAAAACTCTGTTCAAAATCGTTTTTCCTGTTAAAAAAGCAGGATGGAAAGGTACGATAACTGCTGATGTTCTAGAGCGCAGTCTACCTCTGCTACGGAGTAAAAGTGCGTTAAAGCGAGCTAGCTTCAAGCTTGATACGGAGAATGATCGAGGAAACGTCTTTGGGAAAGATATTGAGCTTGGTGTGACGTCAAACGGTCATTACTTACTCCCCTTGTTAGAAGAACTAAGTACACAGAACGCGTTTGTCTCTATTCCGGATCTTCATGGAGACTTTGGAAGCTGGTAGAAGGCAATCTGGAAATTGCATCAACATTTCGGCCATTGCAGTTCAGTGGCGTTAACTTGATTGCTGAAAAACGCGAAGTTAGAGTGCTCTGAGACCGAAATTGCAAACCTCTTGCGTACTTGTGAAGTTTGTAAGGTCCACAGTAAACCTAGTCTAAAACCTGTTGCAAGACTAACTGTTGCCCAGGATTGCCATGGACCTTCATCAACTCGGAAGCACTGTGGTATCTACATATTATGAATGTCTTCAGCAGGTTCAGCATGAAAGTTTCTAGACGCCAGAGTTATTGTATCAAAGCTTACGAAACATTGGGTTTCTGTGCTTGGTCCACCGACAGTAGCCATTCTCACTGATTTTGGGGTGAGTTCAGTAATGAAGTTCTCGCAAAATTGTCAGAAATGTACAACATCAAAATCATGACCACAGCAGCCTATTCGCCGTTCAGCAAGGGAACTTGTGAGCGACACAATGCTATCATTACTGACACACCGGAGAGAGTGACCGCTGATTTTCCAGATTTCGTTTTGGATACTAGATTGTCCTACGTCTGTATGGCGAAAATTAAGTTTTACAACAATAACGGATTCACTCCGTCACAGGTCAAGTTAGGAACAAATCAAATAGTTCCGAATGTACTGACAAATACATAGATGATTTTTTGTGGATGAGATAAAACATTAATAATGCAGTAATATGTGTAAAATATTTGAGTTGGTGGTATGGCGAAAATTAATTTTTACAACAATAACGGATTCACTCCGTCACAGGTCATGTTAGGAACAAATCAAATAGTTCCGAATGTACTGACAAATACATAGATGATTTTTTTGTGGATGAGATAAAACATTAATAATGCAGTAATATGTGTAAAATATTTGAGTTGGTGGTAATATACTCATTTTAATACAGGTTTGTGTGTCTCTACTGTAATGCATGTGACTCATTTCAAATGCGGGTAATATATTCATTTCGCTGTTAATTAGTAATTACTGGCTACAGTGATTACTCTCAGGCTACGCGGCCGCTCGCTGTATTGCCGCCCATTTTAATAATATTCTCACGCCACTACCTGTCGCTGTAATGTGTTTCAGTGAGAATCATCACAACACTTAAAAAGAAAGTGCAGTTTTTGTGATTTATACTGTTCTTGTATTTCAGATAGTTG